CGGGAGAAAAACAATGGGAGAGGGGCAAAAAAAAAAAAAAAAAAAAAAAAAAAAAAAAAGAAAAGAAAGAAAACGGGAGTCTTGCCTCCGATGTCTGTTGCAATTAATATCTAAATGTGCAATTCCATTAGTCACTGCCATGGGGGACTAGGGAGGGTGCAGAAGATGGGGCGGGTGGGGTCTGTTCTACTTGGAAAGCTTGCTAATGACTCGAATGAGCGCTCCGTTCTCGTCCTTTAGTCTCTGGTTGTCTGCTTTCAAGTCTGGGAGCATCTGAAAGGTGATAAAGGGAAACAGGAGCGAGAGAGCGAGAGAGAGAGCAAGAGAGAGCAAGAGAGAGAGAGAGAGAGAGACAAGGCTTAGACAAGTCTCGCCTCGTAAACAGGTTAAAAACGGCGCTTTTTTTTTCTTTTCTTTTTTTTTAAACAAACTGTTAATTGCAGTCTGTGTAAAGCAATCTCAGGAGTGTCACACACAGCATCTAACTTTTGGCTGTCCGACTTTGATTAAAGAGGTAAAAACAAAACCCAACATCTTTGTTCCAAGTCAAAAGTAAAAGCGGGCACACAACAGGCCAAAGATTCTGGTAAAGCCATGCAGAATCTAAGTGGCTGCTGCAGGCAGCCTCAAAAATACACACAGCAGAGGGAAAAAAAGTCATATCTGATCAAGTGCAAATCTGTTAAAATGTTTAACGTTAATGTTCCTGACTTAAGGCCATTATACACATGCTCATCGTCTGCAGAAAATTATTCCCTAGCTCAGAATCATGCAGACCTGTTGCCAAATGCAGTGATCTGATTGGTCAGATCTGTTTAAAAATTGCAGTCTGTGTGAACGGCTGCATTAAGAACACGCGAGTCGAAAAACACTCTTTAAACGCACGGATTCCAGCTGATCTCGCCTTCAAAGCTGTCTAACTTGTGCACCTCTGCCTCATCTCCAGCACGGCAGCCAGTTTAAGACCGCTTCATGAAGATCCTGTTCTGACAACGTACGCCTCAGATTTTATTGAGATTTTTACCCCAAAGTTGTGCAGACAGAAAACACTGATTTCTGTCTCAAACTTTCACAGAGAGGATCATCACTGGCAGTTAAAGCTGCTGGGGCTTCTTGCATCGACTGAAGATGCTACTTCTTTGTGACACTGTCTAACTTTTAATACGGGTTCTTACTGTAGCATGCTGGCAAACAGCCTGAACTGTGGAACGTGTCATCGCGTGCTAATCTTCCAACACCACTCACTCAGCTTGGGGGCCTGGCTCTTTTTTTAACTCTTCTTCAAAATGCAATGCAACTTCCACATTGCCACGAACACACACGCAAGTGGTCAGAATGAGGTTTTTAGAGAGCGATCTAAAAAGCAGCTGCTCCACAAGCGGTGCAGGGCTGCACAACGAGATGACCCTGAAGAGGAGATGTGCCAAATTCAATCAGGTAAAGTTTTAAATTTGCAACGGGCAGAGATGCAAACTTTGTGATCACAACTCAAATTTGAGAGTTTAACTTAACTAAAGCCAGATTATGCATCAGTTTCCTCTTCTTTATGACATCTACTGAACTTCAGAACACATTCTTTTAAACATGTGCATATTAATGCATTACAGGCAGCAACACAGAGCTGAATGAGCTGTAGTAAGTAAGCCAGACTTTCTCTTGCCCCATAATTTATAAATCCTGGAACTGGCTGTCAGATGTAAAGTTTAAATATCTCCCATAAAAGCACAATAAAGACTTGAAAAGTTCCTATTTGGACAGCAGCATGCTTTCAATATGATTAGCTGATTAAATAAATGACTTAAAAATATTCGTACAAGGGCGTAAGACATGTTCTACAGTGTTTAGAGGAGACTGCCCCAGAGACCTGCTTGATTTCATATAAGGACTGACTGCTTGTTTAACTCATGACACTGAACACACTATATTGTGTACAAGTCCAAGGTAAAACCATACGTGTATGCATTAATCTTAAATATTTGTTGATGTTATTTGGTAAACTCAACAGAAAAGGAGGGGAGGATAAGGTGGGTTTGGTCTCTGAAGGTTTGGGTCCAAAGAGTTGATGCCATAGGAAGCCACTTCATGCAAAGAAGCCAAAACAAGCCAAACAGAACTACTGAGCTCCCCCTGAAGTAATTACCACAAGTAGAAACTTCAAAGAGGACACTTTCCTTCACAGTACAGTCAGACCTGTCAACCCGCAAACACTTACCTGAGCTTTGCTTTATTCCGTTATCATTCAGATGTTATTTGAAATATTTAGGATAATGTTTTAATGCGTTTTGGAGGTGTGGAAACCACCTGACAGGCGTGTACTGCAAAAGGACAGTGTCCTGCTGTGAAAACCAAAGAAAGACACCCTCCCCACTCTGAAAACAAAAAGCTCTGGGGAGGCAGAGGGGGGCAGAAAGGGTTGTTTTTCAAAACCAGTGATTGCTGGACGGCTGGACACCTGCCTGTCTATGGGTGCGGGGCAGAGCACGAATGGAGCATGAGAAGAATGGGGTTGCAAGGGGGGAGGGGACAAGGAGGAGAAGAAGAAGCAGAAGAGGAAAAAGAGAGAAGAAGAAGCAGGAGATGGTGGTGGACAGACGGACGTGGCTTAGAGGTCGACGGTGGGCAGCTGGCTGCAGGCCGACTGCGAGAGCTTTGCCACCACGCGGGCCAGGGCCCGGTTCTCAGCCTGCAGCCGCTCCTTAACCTGGCGTAGGGCCTGAACCTGCTTTACCTGGGGGAGGTTCTGCAGGAGGGAAAAAAGAAAAGAAAAAACCAAACACAACACAGAAAGAACAAAGAAAGAGGAGGAGGGACAGGGCGAGAGTGGCAGGAGAGGAAACATGTTTGAGGAGACAAAAATCAAGAGAGAAAGGATTAATGAAAGACAGGACAATATAAATTAATAGAGAAGAGGGGCCGAGAGAAGGACAAAGGGGGAAAACAGAAAAGGAAGATTGTTAGAAAAATGGGGACAGATTTTGGAAATTGAAGGAATGATTAAGAGGTTCAGCTTGATGCTTGTCGACAGAATGGAAAAGTGACACTGATAAGATCGGCCAGCTGGCTAAGCCCTAAAAATAAACACTTTGTTATCACAGTGATGGGAGAACACATGCTTGCTATGGTTTAATAGATTTCCTCTTTTCTTAGCTAAAAAACATTTTCCCAAAAAGAAATACTTAATTAATCATCCTTAAATGTTAACAGTGGACAAATATTACAGCAGCTGACCTCAGATGTGCCCTGAAGAGCAGAAGGTGAGATTAGCAGGTGTACAAATGGAGACAGAGGTGGTTAACTGTGCCGGTCCAAATATAAAAATCTAAACACAACTGTGCCTAAGATTAATATATGTTTTTAATTATTCATTTAATATGCCAAGAGTGAGGCGTTTTAGTATGAGCGAGACTAAGAAGCTACACAAAGAGGGATGCACTGCGACTAATGTTTAAAGTAACAGCTAACAGTCTAGTTTGACTTTGATATTTTCCCTGTTTTATTTCCAGGGATACAAAAAAACACTTATGCAAAAATAAAAAATAGAAATAAAAAAAATAAGAATCCTATTTCAAAGTCTGTCAGCTGTTCACACATTTTTGTATCCAGTACATCCCTATATATGATAAACAAAGCTGGTGACTCCAAGTTACTTTTTTTTTTTTAAATTACCTGCCATATATTCAAGAAAGAATTGTCAATTTCGATTCATGACTTCTATTAGCTTACAGTGGTTCTCAAAGGCTTCACCAAAGAGTCTTCTGACACATTTGGTAATGTTTAGCTACTTGTCAAGTGATGCTAAGTCTAAACTAGTTAAAAGAGTAAGATTACCTCCCCTGTGTGAGGGGTACCTGGTCCCAAATACTCTGAGCGGCAAGTGTAGCAGTGTTACTGTCTGTCAAAATTATCTGATTAGGTATATAATATGCCATTTACAATTTTTTAATTCAGTATGTGTGTGCTGGGTACCTTAAGTTCCTCCTCCATCTCAGAAATCTTCCTTTCTAGAGCTCTTCTTTCCTGTTGGGTGGAGGAAAGCAGATTAAATCTGAACCACGACACAAAATAAACACTCCAGTGCAGGCATGGAAGGAGAGGTGTAGGAGATGGTCGGGATGTAGTGGTGACAGGGCACGCTTGAACACAAGCTTATCTAGTGAGGCATCTGCAAGCGGCAGCCAGTTCAAACTTATACATTCAATTCATTTAAAGCCGTCTAAAGACTGGAATGAGTCGAGAAACAGGGATGAAGATGTTTAGAGGTTGTGTTTGATGGTTATAGCTAATGAAATGATTCATGGGCAAGGATGTCAAATGTCTTTAAACCCAAAAGACAATCCTATAATGTAAAAGGCGGCAAGGAAAGAATGACTTGTATGATGACAAAATGTTGCTTAAATTAAAAGCATGGGCTTAAAAATGATGGATGATGTTTACGAATCTGTGGGTTATGATGATGTGGCTACAGGAGCTGCAGCTGAAGATGCCAAAGCCATTACAGAAAGGGTGAAAACACACATGCACACGTTTTTAATATAACAGCAATTTAACAGCCTGCAATTATTCAACTTTCTACAGAAACTGAGGTAATTTCACACACTTTCACACACTGGAAAAACAAAAATAAGCAGTCTTGAGAAGTGGTGACCACACGCTGCCTCTGAGGTTCAATAAACAGGTGAATAAAGAAGGTGGCAGTGTTCTGGGTGGCGTGGAAGGAGGGCGGGCTTCCCTTTGACCCTCAGCTACGTGAGAGACGACAGCCAGCAGCAAAGAGGAGACTAACACAAAAACTCAGGGTAAGATCATACCACCACCCAGATGATATTGGGGCCTGCTTGTTACCTTCAGACATAAACCCATTGGGGCAGTGTTACTGGGATGTTTAACCAAAGTAACTGAAATAAACTATATTTAGTCTGAGACACACAAGTTATACATGTTTTTAGTAAATGTGTTAATTTAAAATTTTTAAAAAAAAGGGACATTTGCAACAGAAGTGGGTTATTACACTAGCTCATTACCCTTTTCTCCATCTCAAGCTGTGATCGGTCAGCGTAGCGTTCCTGCCTCTGCAATGGGAAACAAAACTGTGTCAGAAACCTTTACAATCCCATCAGGATGTTTAGCCATCCCATGAAGTGCTTCTCCATACCTGTGTGGCCTTCTCTAGTTGTAACTTCAAGTCTGCCAGCTCCAGGTCTGTGTCACGTAACTGAGCCTTCAACTTCTCGTTGTCAGCTAATGTTTGCTCGTAGAGCTGAAGAGAGGACCAATCAGATCCAACAGTCAGAAAGTGCAGCAGTCAAACTATTTATAATCAAAGATGTGTTGAGACTGGCCTACCCGCTGAGAAATGGGGCACATACATAAGCTTTGGTTTGCATTTTTAGCTTGTTTTTCTGTTTAGTTTTAAGCTTTTAAAAAAAGTTTTGGTTTACAAAACCAAACCTCAGAGACACGCAGACATCCCAGACTCAAATATGCACAAAGACCCTGCTAAAGCTCACTGTGTTAAAAATATTCCTTTGTGTTTCCAAAGCAAAAACTTGTGTTACATTTATTTTTATTCTTGTTTAGTCAGTTAACTAAAATGCATTTTTACATAATTCATTTTACTTTTAATTAGAATAAATTTGGGCTTGAGGCAAGGTTTTATTACTCTACCTGTTTAGGCAATTACAAATTAAAAAGGAAGCCTATGTTTTGTTAATTGGTGCATGTGCAGTGCCATTGATACTTTACAATACTTGCACAAGACAACAATGCTCGGTCCTACTTACGTTGGACCTAACATCGGTTTTTGACACTGTTGACCACCACATCCTCCTTGAAAGGCTTAAACACTGGGTTGGTGTATCTGGAACTGCCTTAGAGTGGTTCTCCTCATATCTACATCACCGATCTTTTTCTGTGGTGGTCTCCGATTTTAGGTCATCCTCAACCTCCCTCACTTGTGGTGTCCCTCAGGGTTCGGTTTTGGGGCCTTTATTGTTCTTAATACATCTTCTTCCCAGCATATAATGGGCTCTTTTGAGGACATTCCTTATCACCGTTATGCTGATGATATTCCGTTGTACATCTCTTTTAAACCCCAGGATTTATCTAAGCTTTAGCTTCTGAATGACTGCTTAGATTCCATCAAATGTTGGAACATTGGGAAAACTGAAGTCCGCATATTCACTCCAGACATATTTTTATCCCAGATAGTGAAAGCCTTGGTCCTCTTTCAGTGTATCTTAAATCCTCTATCAGGAATTTAGGTATCACTTTTGACTCAAGTCTTACATTGGATGGGCATGTGAAATCTCTGGTTCTGTCTTGTTTTTATAATTTAAGAAATGTGGCTAAGTTAAGCCCCATTTTATCTCGCTGTGAACTGGAGATTGCTATACATGCATTTATTTCCTCATGTTTGGACTATTGTAACTCGTTGTTTATGTGTCTAAGCAAAGGTTTATGGGCTCAAAATATGGTCATAAATATTTTGTACTTGTAAAAAAGATTTGTGTGTGCGTAAAAAAGATTTGTGTGTGTGTAAAAAAGATTTGTGTGTGGACTTAGGGGAAAAAAAAACAAAAACAAAAAAAACCCCTGCAAGTTATAAGTACGGATTTTGACCCTATTTTTCTTCCTTTCATCTGATTGGTCAATGTCATGTCAATCACAAATGTAACAATCCAATCAGAGAACAGATGGGTTTGGCTGTCGGAGGGGCGCTTTTTTGAACTGCAGGTCCTTGAAGGGTGATACCGTTTGAAGCTGGAGGATCGCTATATAAATATCCGATAGCAGCTAGGTCCCCTAACTTTCAGTAGCTGTTGAAAGGAAAAAGTTGTGGTATATCAGTGGTTAGAAATACCATTATTACTTTAGGATTAGTTTAACACAAAGTCAGGGCTGACCCAGGACCATTGCTGTGAGTCACAGTGCGCAGCATAAAAGTCCTTTCACATCGGACGCAGGATGTGCTGCTAATGCTAACTGCTAACTAAAAGCAAAGGATCCAGAATTTGTTACGCTGGCTGCTGGGCTCTGTGGGTTTTTGCAGCAGCTCTACCTGTACTAGATGCACCTGCTCCTTGTCTTTTCTATCTCTGACTTTATGTCCTCTACAAGAGTTTGTTTTTTTTGCTGGTTCTTCAAATGTTCAATAAAAACATGTATGCTAATTCATAACGAAGAAAGCTTTGTAATGAAGACTGTCATTTCCAAAACACTGCCCGCCCCCACCCCGCGGTCCGCAGCGCTGTTGAAAAGGCTGTGGAAGTCCCTGTATTAAACACGTAGACCTGTGACACAAAAATCACCAAACTCGGACGACCACAGACTGTTTTCCTTCGTGGTGATGAAGGAAAACGCTGGGTTGGCATGTAAAAGGGCATTTATTCCCTTCAAAGACCTGCAGTTCAAAAAAAGCGCCCCTCGACAGCCAAACCCATCTGTTCTCTGATTGGATTGTTACATTTGTGATTGACATGACATTGACCAATCAGATGAAAGGAAGAAAAATAGGGTCAAAATCCGTACTTGTAACTTGCAGGGTTTTTTTTCTAAGTCCACACACAAATCTTTTTTACGCACACACAAATCTTTTTTAGCACACTACAAATCTTTTTTACAAGTACAAAATATTTATGACCACATTTTGAGCCCATATGGTTCTCTGACATTGCATTGTCAAAATGCTGCAAGTATTCTATAGAGCAGGGCGATATGGCCAAAAATATTTATCACGATATATATTTGAAAATTTGCGATAACGATATAACTGACGATATAATTGATGCGAGACAAAATACAACTCCACAACATTACTAGCGCAAAAAGACAACCTATCATTTATTTTCACTTAAACAAGAAGCTGGTTTTTATGTACATTAAAGCTTTATAAAAATGTAACAGTGCAAATGCAAATTCCTTGCTGAAAGTTTAACCAAAAGGCATTTCCAGTAGAAATGGGCTGACATATCCTGAGCATAACCATGTATAATATCCACTGAAGTTAAAAAGAGGTGCTTTGCAACATTAAACTGCAGTGTGCAGTACGTATTTTTCGGACCATAAGGTGCACGGGATTATAAGGCACATTAAGCGAAACAAAGCAGTCAGATAAATCAAACTTTATTAAACTCATTCTTCTTGCTTCCTCCACTTCTGTACCATTGATTCATTAATGTTGAATTCTCTGGCAGCTGCTCTATTCCCATGTTGTTGCAGTATATTAATGACTAACCTCGTATTGTGGATGGATTATCTCAGTTGTTCTCCTGACTGAAGATTGGTCCTTTTACAGCATCCTGCCATGCGATTGCATTTGTCTCTAACCATGAGGAACCTTAACGTTAACTTTTATAAGTGGAAAAGTGTTAGTGTTTGTCCTCCAGCTTCACTGTTTATGTTATGCTAACATAGCTGTGTCGCTAGCGATCACGTAGCACATCATTATATACCAGCTAGCCCAACTTCAGTAACCCTACAAACGTCACTGCTGTTTAGTTTCCTGTCTTCATTTATGTTGGAAGTGATAGCAGAGCTGTACGTTTGATTTTTTTCAGAAATCTCTCAGTCAGAACATGCTATATCATGCTTAGGTAACTAGCGAGCTAACTTCCGCTAGCTTCCTGCTACTTCTAACTCCGTTAAATGTAATACATTTTGTTTTCATGGATGCCTGGAAGTTAAACTTCATAGTTACACCTGGTAAAGCAGCAATGCTGATCGTTTTATTAAAGATGAAAGAATTTAGACAGTTTTTAACTCTTAGTGATGCTGCAGTGTTCGTTTGACCTGAAGCATACGGAGTTTAGGACCCAGATTACTCCCAGATTTAAGGGCATCTTAGTCCGACGGCCGCTTGCATGTTCTGCAAAAAAATGTGCTTTGTCGTGTATCTGACGGACAAACACCAAACCAGTTCCACATCACTGAAGTTGCACCATTTTTACAAACCAATTCTGGTTCATCTGTTTCACTCAACAATCGGCCATGTGCGTATGAAAACAAAGGCACTGCGCATGCGCGTTTTACTCATATTCTATCGCGATATTTCATTTTCCTATCGTTGCCTAACATTATACCGGTATTACCGTGAACGGTATAATATGGCCCAGCCCTAGTATTCAGTACACTGGCTTCCTGTTGAATTTAGAGTGCATTTTAAGATCCTGGTCTTGACATCCAAAGCCTTGCATAGACCGGCACCATCTTACATCTCTGATCTGCTACAGCCCTATGCCCCTAGCAGGTCCCTGAGGTTATCTGATCAGGGCTTACTTGCTATAAAACAGACTGAGAACTAAGGGTGAAAGAGCTTTTGCCACTGTGGCCCCGAGACTCTGGAACGCTCTCCCTCATAAATTAAGAACCCTGGACTCTGTAGTTGTTTTTAAAAAACAACTCAAAACTCACCTTTTTAAAACTGTTTTTGGTTAATTTTTTGCCTGTTTTATATTGTCTGTTTTACCTTTTTAGTATTTGTCATCTTATGTGCAGCACTTTGTGACTCTGTCTAGAAAGGTGCTATAGATATTTTTTATTATTTATTTAACAGTACTGTGCTAAAGTCTTAAGATTATTATTATTACTATTAGACCTCACTCCTTGGAAGCAAAATGTAAAGAAATGAAGGATGTCTCAAGACTTTTGTACAATACTTTGTTTACGAGTTTGAGTTCTTCTGAAAATAAATACCTTCTTGTAGTCAGTGGCGTCATCTTTATCCAGTCGGCTAGAATACGGCCTTCGACTTTCACCGTAGCTACGAGTAAAAAGAGTGTCATTACGATCTAAGGATGAAGTGCTCTCATTCCTGCAACAGTAATGACAGGCATTTGTTTAAAACAGAAACACACAAACACAAAAAAGGAACATAACATGTTGGAGGGGAAAACCTACCTGAACAATCGGTCACTCTGTAAGAAAGAAAAACAAAACAGAAAGTTAGAAAGCAGTTTATTCTGCCATAAGATGTTTTCAGTCGCTACACTTGGAAAAAATGCTAAAATACTAGAAGATTCAACTCTGATAGAGGGTTTCGAAAGAAAACAAGAAAAAGAAAAACGAAAACACTAAACAGTAGGATGGAACCAGTTATTTAGACTACAGTACCCGACCTTCACTCCCAGCTGCTCTGCATGCACATACAGACACAGTAACAACTAACAGCTGACAGGCCAGCTACAGCCTTGAGGTGCCTGCACTGTGCCTCTAGGTCTGCTGTGCTTGTGTAGTGCCACAGCCATGAGAATGGAGCCAGACATCAGATAGGAAGGTCAGGTTGAGGGGTTGGTCTTCCAGCTATTTTAAAAATTGCAGTCTCCTTCTGGAGGCAGAGAGAGTGTGGTGACACAACAATGCTACACTCTGGGTTTTCCTGAGAGTGCTTCTGGTGGTGGTGGTGGGGGTGTGAGATAAAAGCTGTAGAGCTAGCTCAACATTATTCAAGGAGCAACTGGAGAAAGACTTTGAAGACAGACTCTGGAATCAAATTGGCTGTTTTTTGTTTTTAAATGATGTCTTTAGCGTCTTATCTACTAATTAGGAATCAACCAAGCATTTTGTTTCAGTACCAACATTTATCAGGATGACCTTAGATGAGCTTAAACTTAAAAAATATTTGCAAACTCAACTCAAAAATACATTTATGCCTGTAATTAAGAGAGACGAGCTGGAATGAAAGAGTTTTTCCTGTACATTTCAGGATAAGGGCTCCTTTCCGATTTGGTCCACCCTGTTTACTGTCCTACAGGAAGTGATGGTAAATAGCTGTTGTCTCTCTCTCATCCCCAGGATCTCTGTACTCAAAGGAAAACTGTGTGTTCTCCATTATGCTTCAAAAGACACTCCCATCCAAACAGGAAGTGCACCCAGCCAACAATATTTTCACAAAGCTGCCCTCTCTGTGGCTTCTAAAGACAGTATGAATGCACTGGATTCCACTGCTTTTTTATGCTTATGTCACCAGAAGCCTTTAGGAAAATTCTTACATGTTATTTCTTGTTCGTTTTAAGTTGAAATTCTGACTTCATTTGTGGAGGGGAAAAAGAAAAAAAAGAAAAAGAAAAAAAAAAAAAAGGGGGGCTCAAATTTCAACTTGGGAAACCTCAGCATGTCATTTAAGTGTGTGTTCTGCCTATAAAAGACCTGCATTTCCTTCCTTTTGTGCTTCTACATGTTTTAAAAGCCCACTGATCTGTTGCCGAGTGAGCCTTTGGTTTGCAAGGTCACCCTCATACACCAGACAATCACCGGAAGGTGGAAAGGGGGAGGACAATAAGAAATTCAAAGGCAGGAGTCCAAAAAAAGAAAAAGAAAAGATAAGCGGTAGGAGAGGAAATCATAGCTGTACAGCACAGAGTAATGAATATCAAAGACTAGTCCACTTCCTTGGCCTTAACTACATGAGATGAGGCGAGGAAGGACCAGAATAGTAAATAAATGCAAAAGATGAAATAGACGTCATGGGATACAAGGAGAAGAGGGATGGAGGCTGGAGGGCTACTTTCTCTCCTATGACCCGAGTTACCTGTGGCTCTCCCTTGGCGTTGCCCTCCTCCGAGTCCGACTGTTGATCGGGGTCATTTTCATCACCCTGGAATTTAAAAAGATATGAAGGTTAGGTGCTGCTTTGGGCCATCCAAATGATCAAAGAAACACCCGAAGCTGTGCACGAGTTATGAACTGTGCACTTCACAAAGAGTGCGATGACCACTTCAAAAACTGAGCTCTAAAGAGAAAGCTTTGCACAGTGTGCAAATCTCTTACATCCTGACTCCAGAAGGACACCCCAGTGGAACGTCTCTTTTCGCGGGGCCGCCTGCGATCCCGTATGGAGCGGGGCTGAGACTTGTCCTCTCCCTCCTTTTCCTCCTCCTTCTTGTCTGCTTCTGCTTTCATTGAGAAGAAAGTCAACAATTATTGGACAGATTATGATTGTGTCACATAAAGAAACCTAGAGAATTACATCCATGGAGGATTTCATCTCTTCTCTTGCAAACATATTAAAATAAATAAATAAATAAATAACCGAATGCATGTTTTTGAACTGTGTGCATCTGTGTGTGAAAAGATGCCCTAGCCTGCATACAAAACAAGGACTTTAATGCTGTGAGGTGAAACTGTTACCCTGCCACCCTGCAAGTTTGCAGTCTTCTCTTATTTTGAAAGCTCAGTCCTTAATCAGCTAGCTCTGGCCTTTCTGTTGAGAAGGCATCCTGCTATTTTGGGGAAAAGCTTGGTCACAAGTCTGTCACAGTTTCCTTCAGCTGCTTTCAATTTTCCAAGGACACTTCATGCATTGGTTTGTTTAATTGAAGAGGTACTTAATTTAAAAGACAACCCAAACCCCTTCTGTGTCAATGGTCTAAATCAACATTTGGCATATGGCCCATGTGAAAACAGTGGAGACAGTTACAGCAGCAGGCACGTACGAGCTGTGCCTATATGGCTTTATGTGAGAGCACACCTCACCAAAGCTGGCACAGTTTTAAACAAGAGGGATTAGCAATCCCCTTGAGGCAACATTAATAAACATCCATTTGCCCAGTTTACTACAGAGCAATTCAAATCTGACAGAGTGCAATGACTGTTTAAGATCTGAAGACATGTGTAGTGCTGCCACACACATACAGCCATGCTTTTATGTGCATTCAGTTTAAATTTGAAGACTTTTCCTCATCAAACACAACCACAACTTAAAAAAAAAACTTCTCAATACCTGTATCGGGTATGAAAAACACTCACCCTTTTCTGTATCTCTGGAGGAACGGCTATAGGAGGAGGTTATCCCCGTCAGACTGTTAGGCCTGTTGAGGGAGCTAGAACTGGAGGACGTGGTGCTAGAGTAGGAAGGGGTGGAGGCAGTGCTGACTGAGGAAATGGTGGAGGTGGAAGAAGATGAAGGCCTTGACCGCTGGGAGAGAGGAGGGTAAGATGAAGAGGTCAGGCTAGCTGTAATATTTAAATTATTATTATAAAATATTGTGTCGTTTCAGTAATACATTATAACAATATAAACATTTAAAATATGCACCTCATCGTAGGTGCGGTACTTGTATCGGTAATCATCGTCCTTCGTCTCAGTCTCCTTCTTCTCCTCTTGCTTTTCCTTGTCCTGCTTCTCTTTCTCCTCCTTCTCCTCCTCCCGAGTCTTTGTGGTACGACTCCTGCCGATTGTTTTCTCAGCCTCTTGTAAATCAGTCAGAGTCACACCCTGGAAGAAGGAAAGTCTTTTTTAAATTTCTTTCTTGGATGATTTTTAAAAATTAGTCTTATATTTGCAGATTCTATACATGCTGCAAAATTGGTAATTAATTAGTTCAAAAAAACAAAAAACAAAAAAAACTGGTCGACTGATCCAAGCAAAGTTTTCTTTTTAAAACAGGGACAAAGCTCAAATTCTGTAAAATGAGCTCTTGGTACAAGAGCTGCCTGTGTACACAAACAAAAAATAAAAGTCTGGGCTGTCTCAACAAGAATAACAGGTCTTATTTGAACAGTCTGTGGCCATAGAAATACAATACAAACCAGGAACATGCAGAGGTCATCATTTGTTAACAGTTTGTTTTGATGTGGGAATCCACCTTTATTTGGCTTATTAGCCGTTTGAGCAGTAGTGACTATTCTGATCATGTTAAAGCAGGTTTCCTACAACTGAAGACTCAGATCAACATTTAAGAACAAAAACTGATGGGGATATTAAAAAAAAAAAAAAAAAAGTCAGATTAGAGACATAAGTTATGTTTTTGTGGTTTGGTTGAGGCTCTAGTTGTAGGTTAAATTAAACATGTTCCTATGAATACCAAATTCCCATTTTATTTACCCTTCCTACAGATAACATTATAAAAGAATGGTTTAAAGGCAGCATGTTATACTCATTTACTGGGTCTTAGTGCAGTTATATCACTGAATTTTTGCTCCCTTCCCCCTGCTGGTAAACCAACTTTCTTCTGGTTGGCTAGCCCTTGTAAGCACAAGGCTAGAACAGCAGGTGGGTTGAGTTCACAAACAGAGCTTTTTGCGATGGCCATATTAGGATATCTGCTCTTACTGACATCATACAGAGCTAAACAGTAGTAAAAACACAGTTGAGCCTGACATTTTGCCTCACAGGGTTAAGGGTCATTAAAAGGAACATACACCTTTGCAAACATAAGAGATGAGGACTCAGCATATTTAAGGTGATGTGGTTTAACTAACCTGGGTGGACCTCCTTGACTGTCGAGCCTGTCTGGAGCGAGCTTTCCTCTGAGACTCCGACTCCTCATCTCGCTTTGGAGTCAAGTACGACCTGAAAGAGACACAAGCAAAATACACAAACACAGACACACAGAGGTTAAATATTTAGAGGAAGTAAAAAAAAAAAAAAAAAAGAAAAAAAGAAGAAAAAAAAAACCCTCCTGAATGGGGAAGTTAATCTACTTAAATATGCTTCGTACTTGCCCTCATGATATTGAGCTTTACCATTCATTAAAGAAACAGGGGTTACTAAATAGGCTCTCTAATCAGCAGAAATTGCATCCAAATGTACAGATTTGCTGATAAAGTATTAACACACCTGCTCACACAAATACATGGGGCATTTACAGGTGTAAACAAGACTTTAGCAGTGTTTTATTTCCACGTTAAAACAAGTTTGCAATGGAAATGCGGTTAAACTACATGTAAAGAGCCAGGCGTTGCTCTCATCTGACGTGTTTTCAGCTCTTATTTAGACTACACTGGACTAAATCATCATGCATGTGACACAGGTCAACCTGTTAATGTGATCCTGCTAACCTTCAAAGACGCAGTCACATCACAAAATCTAAATATAAAGATGGAGGTAAGACTGTGTCACTGTGCGCTGGGAAGTCCTAGAGTGAAGTGTTAAAGACAATTTAATACTTTGTATCAACTTAAAGTAGCAGGTTCTCTTTTTACTATGGGCTTGTTCAGTGTCAAGACTGGAACCCATTAATCCTCCTTACGCATCCGTTTACCTCCACAATATTGCTGTGCTTGTGTTTTTACCTAATGGTACATTTCTTTTCTCTGGTAGTTTATTAAAAATGTTAATATTAACTGAGGAAGCAGTCAGCTGCAGTGTAGCTTGGCTGGAGTAAAGGACATCCATGCTTCACTTTCACAGGGGAAATTAAAAACAGCTATTGTAAAAATCACTGCTGTCTGCTAGATATACATTTGTAATATAGCAACAAAGAACAGATATGAGAAAGAGGGGAAAAAAAAAATCTTGGTCATTTTCCCTCCAAGCCAGGATTTTTTAAATAATGTCTTCCTCGTGTGTTATATTTGTAAAATGAGATATACCTCTAGGTTTAAACGTTCCGGTACGCGAGCTTCATGCCCAAAAGGCAACACAATTTGGGAAATAAAACAGTAATCGCTCGTCTCAGGCTGAAACACTCTTCTATTGGCCACACAACAGTATGAACTCATTCAGCCCAGAATGGGGTCTTGGCCTTGAGGAAAATGTGCTTCTTCTGCCCACGTTCCTTATAAGGAGAAGTCGCTGGAGCAGTTCAGGCTCTGAAGCAGCCCGGCCCCACTCCCACCGTGACAGGTGGCTTATTTCAGCGTTGCTACAGGAGGACATGCACTGGACCCCCACTCAAACATACACATGCAAGCACAAGCTCTCCGCTTTCTCACTCCCTCCCCAGAATGTCTGCACAGAGTCTAAGAGTGAACACAAACCTACAGAAATAAGAATATGGAAATGCTGAAAGTCTCCTTACATTTAAACAGCACCATAAATTTGGTGGACAGATGTGATTGCAATAAAAAAAATTCACAAAGTTTAAAGAGCTAATAAAACTAATGAAATCGATGTTTGAGTAGGTGTTTGGTTTACCTGCGTCTTTCGGTGCCAGTGCCAGTGGTAGTGGTGGTAGTGGTAGACGTGGTGGTCGTAGTAGAGCCAGTGTTTATAGTGGGGACGACAGCAGCCGACTCCTTCTCCTTCTCTGCACTCTCCTCTGACCAGTACCTGTTTATACACACACATTTTAAACAGATTCCCTTTCAGCTGCTGTAATACAAATGCAACAATCCTAAGCCTGTATATACAATTCAGGGCCAATTACTATACATTTTCTTGCCTGCCAGATGATTGTGTCAGACCGTTTGTTATAAAACCACTTCGAGCGTTAGCTCACCATCTTTTTTTAGCACTTTGCTACTCTCTGGCTTTTGGTATCCACCACTTATGCTGCTGAATTTTAACAAAATAAACAAAACCTAGTAACATGATAAAGTGTTTAAATTTCCACTACAGTAATAATACAGAAAATAAAGAATAAAGAGAAAAAAAAAGGCAAACTGTTCAAACTTTGAGAAACTTCTGGAAATTAGTAAATTTATCATCATGGACATGGCTATCAACTAAATTAGAAAACAAACTATTATACAAATATAATACATGAATATGTGGTGAAACTGACCAGTATTACCGCTGCCTTCTAGCTTGTTTAAAGAAAGAGTGCATGACCTCAAATGATAACTGTATAGATTCATTCATTCATTCAGCTGCAGCTGAATTTCTCAACCTGAAAAGAAATAAATTGTACCTGCTGGTGAGACTGGTGGAGCCAGTGCGAGTGGAGGAGGAGCCCAGGCTTGAGTACAGGCCACGATGGCCCGTGGGCGAGGTAACAGATGAGGAGGTGGAGGTGGTCGTGGCGGAGGAAGTGGTCGAGGAGCCCAAGTCCTCGTGTCGTCTGCCGAATGAGCCGCTGTGGAATAAAGAATCATCGGCAAGATGGAATGAGATGCAAGTAGAGCCGTTTGATTGTGGCCAATCGTGGTTTCCACTTTTACTTTAATAATTAGGATGGAGAACATGAGTTTATCAATTTTGTTTTTCTTCTTTTTCATTGCACTGTATAACAACTAGTGTCCAACTAGTTTACTACACTGCATTGATGGTGAAGGCACATTAGGTGGGAGCAGTGATTGTTAAGAAGGGACAGATGATGATGTCTCACCATGGCATTTTTAGTTGCAGTGATGGCGCTACATCCAAACAAATTTTTGTTTTATATGACTTCTATGTTTCTATTTAAATAAATAAATAAAATCCCCTCTTACACGAGTGTTTTTAAACAGTTCCTGGGACATTCACACTTCATATGAATGTCTGGAGAAACTTCACAGTGACCATTTACATACACGCGGGATGCCACTGATCCCAACAACAAACAGTTACTCACTTGAAGATGCTAATACGTTCTTCTCCTTGTACTGGAGTAATGCACAACTATAGGGTGGTAAATGTAGTCGATTACCATTAATCATGTTTTAAACCACAATTCTAACTTTACTGAAAGTTGTAACCAGCAGATAAATAAAAAGCCTTCCAACATTTAATATAACAGGGAACCCAAAACACAAGGTGGTCACTCCAGCCGAGCAGAGATGCAGAAAGTGAGAGAGGACAGGTGGTGCCTCGGTGAGGCTGGTGTACCTGCGGTAAATGCTGTAAGACGGGTAGTGGGAGGTGGGTGGCTGCCAAGGTTTAGTATTACAGGTGTTAGGGTCCAAGTTGGAGGTTGACGAAGACTTGGCTGGCACGTCCCGCGTGCTGCCGCTCCGCCCTAGCGCTAGCGTATGGGAAGTGCTAGCGTGTTGGCAGGCAAGTGGGCGAGAGAGGCATGTTAGCGGTGAAGGCGCACACATACAGACATATATACGCAGAGAACAAAGAAACATACATATTTAAGACTCTAAAGCTTTGACACACTGTTTGTGCATTCATCTCATTTGGGAGAAGGATGATACTTTGCTGTATTTAAAGAGTTAAAGGAGGATGAGATACATCTAAAATCATCCAATTGTTGGGAGATCTTCACCATTTCCCCCCTTTTCAGAATTAGATTTAAGGATGTCTTGGTTGGAAACATCAAAACTCAGAAACGCAAGAAACAACAACTTGAAACTTGAGTGAGTTCATTAGTGGCTCACAGCCAGCATTTCTCCCATACGATATAAATGCAGCACAAGTCCATGTCCAAGTTCTGTGCCACAAACAACCCTGAGAATTTCTTATTTAATTGATTTATTAGATTGTTTGAGGCTTGTAAAATATCTCAGTGGCACAGCAACCTGACAGGACAAGTAGAGTCATGCAAAAGACTCTTTGGCGGTGACAGAGAGGCGCTGGGCTCATTTGCATGGCTTTCAGAGCAGCTGCTGCAAATGCAAGCATGTGCATACACATCTCTGATGACATCACTAAAAGCAAATTTCCCTTCAGGTGACTGATAAATTCACTATTGATGATCTACACAGTTAATTTGGTTTCAAAGCTATGAAAGGCACCCGTATGATGGACACGACGAGATTGGGGTGGAAAGTTGTGGCAGAGGTTTGTACTACAGCCGAGGCTAACCTGCGCTGGTAGCTGGGGGTTCGGATGTTGGAGGCACTTCCTTCACTGTTCTTCAGGTCGTCATCCCAGCGTCGCCGGGTGTAGGAGCCGCTACGTATCAGAGCAGTGGAGTCCCTGGGAAACCACAAGCTAGAATCGTACCCCACGTTTCCACAGTAACATGTATACTAAAGGAATAGGTCTCCCATTTTTAAAAATCGTCCTTAATGTGTTTCTTGATTACTAAATCTATCACTGTACATTAAAAAAAAAAAAGCAGCTGCTTAAGGCCACACCATGCACAGCATTGGGGCACCCAGCAGTGAGCAACAGGAGCCACACAATCCAATGCATGTTTGCACAGGGCCACGCGTCTCCAGGGATTCACCTGTTTTCCTTCTCGTCAATGTCCGAAGTACTGGCCAGTCTCCTGGGAATGGTTGGAGCCACATAGGCAAGCCGGGTTCCTTTATCCTTTTCCTGCAGGCAGCACAACAAGCAGGACATAGCTGTAAAGGAGCTGTGTAGTATTGCTACAAGAAAGCTCTGTTACCACAATAAAAAACACAAAACCTTTTAATTAAGAATCATCTACGCAACCCCACCTACTAAAAAAAAAACCAAACCAAAACGGCTTCAATCCCTTCTGACCTTCTCCTTGTCTTTGTTGTCCAGAGATGTGGAAAGGCGAGGGCTCGAGGCCGAACGCATAACCCCAGTGGTATCCTTCTCCCTCTGTGCCTCCTTGGTGGCAGTGATCTCGGCCAGCGCTCCATAGCTGCCCGTCTTCCTCAAACCCAAACGCCAGGACGCTGGAGACTCATCCTTCCTCTCCTCCTCCACTTTAGTTGAGACCTTTCCAGCAGGCTGAGTGACCTGAGTGAGGAAAGGACAGCAGTCTAATTAAGACCTCGTTGACCATTTAGAAGGACAAAGATGTTTAGAGGTTTTTAGTTATCGTGGTAAGTAACGCAAAAGTCAAACAGGTTAAAAACAAGTCGGATTAATCCATAAGGGCTGCAAATTTTAGATTTTTTTTTTTTATTTCAGGTGGAAACTTTATTATTTTTAAAAACATGTCAGATGTGACACATGACCAGAATGCCTCTTCCTGACTTCAATACTCTGTAAAATACACTCCTGGTTATATGCCATTTTCAAAATATGATGACTTCAATAACTCTTACAGCCTGTGGAGGTTTTGTCTGAAAACAAAGTTTACAAGCAGCAGAAGTCGCACAGACGTGAAATGAAAGCATGATCAAGACAGTGCATTTGGTGATTACAAGTGGAAACACCATGCTAGGGTGATAGGTGAAAAGCAGCTATTGGCAGCAATCAATCGCGATTTTGGTTTTTCCACTGCGCGTGGTTTGTCATGCCATGAACATCCACGGTTAGGTAACGGTTTTCCCCCCATTGCACCACAGAGGAGGGGACAGGTACCAAAACTATTCCTGTTTGTTATTGCTGCACATTTTATCAGCCTGTGTATGAGGGGCAGAGGCTCATACGCTGCAGCACTGTCACCTGTGTAGCTTACTGCACGGACGAGCCCTACTCGATCTTCAGCTGATAATACAACGATGTTTGGAAACTAAACCACAGCTGTTATTTCACCACATTATGTCGGCAACTTTGTTAATTTTGGAAAATTTTAAACAACTTCTTAACAAGAAATCACAATAACTGCCTCTTTGTACTTATTGTGATACTAATTATGTAATCAAAATATGAGGATAAATCCTTAGTGCAGGTAAATTAGCAATTTACCTGCTAGTTAACCTCTGTTTGTTCTGCGGTTTAAATGCATTTCCTACATTTTATTTCTTCACAATAAAAGCATCCTGTTCAATCACCAGTGGAAATTTTTTAATGTGAAACATGAAATGTTCAGTTTATGCCGTTAAACTAGTGGAAAAACCCTATATCGCCTGGATCAGGTCAGAATGGTTAGGGGTGTTTAGTGCTTTATCAGTGCACAGGTGCATGTAGGATTACAGAACAACTCTGGTGCACACCAAGGCCTCACCATAAGTTTTTTGGGCACTAGAGAAATGCCAGTTTTGCGCAAACCTTGACGCCACAATGCAGGACAGCCTGGCTCCGCCACAGGCATGAGGGGAGTAATACATTCAAACTAAAGCCAACCAAGACAAGAGCCCAGGGTGAGAATGATGCAGAGAGAGAATGACAGAGGGAGGGAGGGCATGGAGGAACAGAGAGGTTGAGACAGAATAAGAGAAGCAGCAGCAAAAGAAACACACTTTATGAGCAAAGACAGGCATTTTAAAGCCTAGTCACACCACACAATGCTCACTGACATTAATGTTCTCAAAATAAGTGACAGATGCAAACACTGGAATTTGGACTTTGCTAACTTATTAGACAGAGGACATTGTGGTTTGAGTGAGAATCAGGCTTCAAATAAGGACAGGAACAAGAAGTTTATCTCAAGAGAAGAAGCAGAAAAAAGAAACCAAAAAGGCTCTAGATGGGTGTCTGGTGGTGAGACAACCTCCCTTTTTTTCAGGTTCATTCAAGGGCTAAAGTCAGGTTTGGAGGTGGCATCACATATCACAGACTTGGGTGCCTCAAATTTAAATTTTAAGAACGTCCCCTACATGTGCAACATGTTTGTTTCACACTTCGATCTTGCTTCCTTATCGTTTGCTTGCTTGTGTTTTTTCAACTTTTGCTTTTCTGTTCTAATTTTTTTAACCTAGAACAAAGAACATGAAGCACTAATGACAAAAAAAAAAAAGTTTGATTACATTACATATTTTTGTAAACACCAAATATTATATTTCACAATATTTTAAATGCGTTCAATTAAATCAAAGAGGAAAACCTGCCCTTGGGGAAACTCAGAGGGTTCACTTTAGAAAAAATGCTTGGCATTATTCTGCCAGCAGAGGGCAGCAGTTTCAAAAGTGGAACATGACTGTAATTCAAGGCCTAGTTTTACTTTTACCACCCAAATGCATTTGTCTGTACACTTTGCTCCAACCTTTAGAACAACCTACAACTATACTGCAGAATTTTCCAACCGTCCCTATCCTGTTGCCATGTTTGTTAAAAGCTACTTACATTTATGTTCTCATTCAAGCCAGACAGAGCTATTAATTTATATTACTCATTAATTTAAACTATAGAACTGTATATGCAAACACCTGACTGCAAAATCAGGTTTTTGTTGCAAAGGGAGAATAAGTAATCCCCATCCCCTTTCTCCAGACAGGGCAGGACGGCAAAGAGTTCCCCGGTCGTACCTTTTTAACTGGTGAAGTGGGGGTCGTCACCTGGTTAGTTGGGCTAGTTGGAGAAGACACCGTGACGCTGGTTGGTGTTGTGCTGTTGCTCACTGCTGCTGAGGGCTTGCTCTTTTCTGCTGAGGTTCCCAAAAAAAAAAAAAAAAAAAAGCAGACGAGAATAGTCACAATATGGTTTCTTGACATGCAGAATAAGTATAAAAGGCCCAGAAATTACAGAATAAAATTGGTACTTCATAATTAAAGTTTTGGCTCAAGACTTGAGCCAAAACACCACAAGTCTAACATAAAAATCATACAGTACCTGCTTCAGTCTCTGATTCTGAATCTTCTTCCTCCTCTTCTTCACTAGAGCAGCTTGATTCATCCTTCTTACCCTCCTCTTCTTCGTCCACTTTCTCTGGCTCTAAGGTCTCGATGCGAGGAGCGCTCTTCTCGGGCTCCAGAAGCAGCGTTTCTTTGCTAAAAAACACAAATGTAACACTGTTAGTATAGTACTGCAGCATCAGTAGAGAGTAGGGCTCACAGATAAGCAACGTGAACTAGATTTTTAGAGTTTTGAGTTTGGTAAACTGAAGACATTTTCCTTCACCCCTTGGCTTTAGACAGTTTGACTTTCTGGCCAATTGCAGGAAGGATAAGACGCTACTCTCATACATGAAAGCAAGAAAGAAAAAAAAAAAAAACTTTAGAGAGAACACTTGACAAAGTGAGATTGTTCTCCTAAAGATATCGTCGTACCTTAGCTTTTTTGATTCAGTTAACCATTTCCATTCATTACTTCTCATTAGAAAGTTACCTCTTGATTGGCTTCAGTGATTGATTGTTGTCCCCAGTGGTGGTTGTTTCAATCAGAGGAGATTTCTTAACATCTTTCTTCTCACTTCTCAGCTGGAATTAAGATGATAACAAGACACTCATGAGTCCAGCACAGGAAATGAAATTATACTATAAAAATTAAGACATGTTTTCCCGTCATGAGAAGGTTTCTTGGAATCTTTCAAGAATTTTGTTCAGATGCCAAAGTGACTCACCAGATTTTGTTTCTTCTGTAGTTCTTCTAAGTATCCCAGAACATCTTCATCTGCTACATCAAAAGCAGTCTGACCCTGAAGGGAAACACGTAAGAGTTAAAGACTGCACTTAACTTAATGACTGCTTCTAGTTCTAGTTCCTCACCATTTTATTCATGATGTCCATGTCACATAGATTCTCAACCAGTATCCTACAGGCCTCCTCTTTGCCCCAGTGTGCTGCTGCATGTAGAGGAGTCCAGCCATCATAGTCCTTAATATTTACATCATACCCTGCTTGGATTAAAAGCCTACAAGAAAGACACAGGGAGGGTGAATGTGCGGAGTGAATGACTGATTTCATTCTGTAAACTGATTTTTCAAAGTGTTGCTAGGCTTCGAGCTCTGTTGTGCGTCAGTATTGTAACCCCAGGTCACTTTTATGAGATACAGATTCCCCGAAAAAACAGAGACGTAATCTGAAAATCTTAGTCATCCCTTAGCAAAGCTCGGTGAGGCTAGCAAATATTTCAGCCAATAAATCTGCCACGACGGGGGAAACATTTGGATCTCTGTCCCGTGTACGGTAGTTGTGCTAAACATCAGAGATCTTAGAGCTATCTATGGCAGCAGAGTGTGCTGGCTGGCTTCCCAGACCAGATGGACAGGCCGTTGCGGTTTCTATCCTTGAGCAGCGCAACTGTATTAACAACCCACAGTGACAATGTCAGAACGAGGCAAGATGACAAGATGCAGAGACCGAGATATGTCTTGCATTACCGATGAGGCTAGGCATCACCACCGTCTTTACTATAAATAGTGTTCAAATAAAGTAACATACAGGAGACACTTTATGTACCAAAGTGTGCTCCAACTGTTTTACCGTCTCTGAGGGCTACTGCTTACTTTAAAACCTCGACGTATCCCTTCGCGGCGGCTACATGGAGCGCCGTTCCTCCAGATTTCGTATGCCGCACGTCTTGGATCTGGCCGCTGTTGAGCCACTGCCGGGCATCCCTCAGCATGATGCGCTCCTCCTCTTTCCGGGCTGCCTCGATATCAACCCCTGGAGAAATGGAGAAGCATGATAGTGTACAGACAGACACCCAGGGATTACCTGCTACTTAGGAACAAGCTGCCTGCTGCAGCAATGAACCTAGAGAGAGAACAAGACCCAATTAGATCAAGATATTTATGACTTCTACTTGTTTACATCCAGAGTAAGGTATGCAAATGTTTGGAACAGGTTGCATTAGTGACCTATTCATATTCTGTTGGAGGGGACGGGACCATTAGTAATAGCAGCTGTCTCTCTCGCAAGCTGCGCAGAATGCAAATGTTGAATATTTGTTCAATTCCGCGCCCCTTAATAGGGATAATGTAGCCAGTGTAATTCACAATAGCAAATACTGTGCGTCAAAGGGACCACAGCTGTGTAGCAAAGGTGCAGCTTTCACATTTCTCAGATTAGCCTACTCTAACTGATGAACATAAGCGACAAATATCAGCTGAAAAAGTTAAGGTATGAAGTCCGCCCGGTTGCTTTTATATTGAAAACATTTTAGAACAATATAGAAACAAATGTACCTATGCAGACACTTAAATCTCTTGTATTGGTTTGTCCTTTTGAGGACCTAATGTAATATCTGAATGGCTTGGCCTGAATGAACCTTTCACCAAGTTTGCCAGCACTGCTCTAGATTACAGCCAAGACAAAACAAAATATTTCAGCTCTGATGAATGAGATGAATTTTTAGGCATTTTCAAACTGCACTTTTATCAAGCCAGGCACTGTTGCATTTCATTGTTAGAAACTTTCTATGGAGGGAACTAGACACAACATGGTTCTGCCATGCTCTGGTGTCAGCCATTTCATCTGCTCTAGGGAACAGCTTTGTGCCAATAATCTGTCAATGTAACAATACAACGGCGGCTGCGAACACTCCAGCCGGTAAGTGGCTCAATATGTTGAAGCTATATGCTGCATGCAGAGCAGTCTGTATTGACACGCCTGTACTGTCTTGATGACACCTGGTTGGAGCGCAAGACTGTCTGAAATGCTCTGCTGCACGATCTGAGAGAGATAAGTACAATGAACTGTATAAACAATGATCCAAAAAAGGGTCTGGGGCAGAAGCCAAAACTTCAGCTGGTCTTCTAGGATTTTGTTCTGCACTCAGGGAAACATCACCACTCATTTCCTGACAGCATAGAATGATTTAAGACCTCAAGCTTTTTAAAGCAATGAAAGGACATCTGTGTCTGCAAATCTGCCATGAGGAAAGGGCAGTCAGAGGAAAAGTCTACGTTTACCCAGAGGTTTAGCTTCAGCTAGCTGGAGAGGAGCATGAGAAGGACATTTGTTTCCTAAACAAAGTTCGCCAGACACAGACACAGTGAATTGGTTTCCACTCTTTCAGGTTTCTGATAATGGGTCAATGAGTATTAAATATCATAGAAAAAAAAAAAAAAGAAAGAAAAGAAATTAACCCACACTCAACACAAGCTGAAACAAGAGCGGTCCAAGACTGCGTGTTTCCAAGCCTAAGGCTGAATATTTACTTCACACAATACTGGACATGTGAATCTCCGAGATATTTAAAGCTCATTGTTAGTGGTTTAATGTCGTTTCCCTGAGTACAACTGCTCGTTTCACGCTAATAAAAATGAAACTTAAACAGGAACATTGAGAACAATAAAAACTATTTTTAGTATGAATTTCATATTTTCAATAATTACAACATATGGGGTCTTTGGATTATAATATTTGTTGCAAACACACACTTTGGAAAGGCAACTGACTCATTTATGTCGACATCAGAGGCTCAGACTACATATATGCACAAACATCTCCTCGTGCCAAATGTGTTGACAAATTTTACCATACTGACAAAGACTTAATGTAAATCACATTCTGCAGAATTTAAGTTCTAACAACCCTCCCACATCTGGATTATTAAGAGCAACATTTTTTTGCATTTTAATTTCCTAAGATTTTGTAAAGGTATAAGACAAAATGCCCAATAAATCTTGCACCTGGGAAAGAATTATTCCAAAAATCCAAGTGGTTAATGACACATTGAGCAAGTTTCTCACCCTGCATCGCTTTGAAAACGATGGCTGGTCGCTGGTGGACATTTAAGGCCCCGGTTGTCTAGGTTACACTCTAATGTGTTTTCTAATCTGTGATGTGTCAATCACCAGTATCGTGCACTCTCATTGATAGTCCCTTCAATCTCTCACCGCAAAGTTTATCACGGGATCTGCTCACTCTACATTGTCAGTGTTTTTCTTTCTGGCCTAACTTCATGTCAGTAACTTTCTATGATCTTTGGCCACAAAGTCATTGTGGATTGCTTACCTTGTAGATGCAGCTAAAATGCGCATGCAAATCTGTCCGTATCTTTTTCAGTAATCTTAAATGTACCACAGAAAACCACCATGGCACAGATAATTATGGTGCACATTGAGAGGATTAGTAAGCTAAATTCTAAGAAAGTGAAACCAAACAGGAAGAAAGTAGATTTCAAAGTTTTATGTCAAAGAGAGCAGCTTTGGGACAAAGACTGGGCCTGTTGACTCACTGTCCTTGTGTCCTTCTCTGACCTGACAGTTCTAATAAAATGCTGTCACGGTTTTTACTCTTTAAATAAATATCAGCCCTTTAACATTGATTATCAAAAGAAAAACGCACTATAACAGTGCATAACTTTCCAGGCAATTTTATGAGTGCGTTTAATATCTACCTGGAAGTGTCCTGAACCAAGAAGGTAACATTAATCAGACTTTGCTTTTTCCAGTGTTTGGAACAAATCTAAACCTCAGTAGGTTGGTTTGGTCAATGAAGAGGTGAACCAACTGAGGCTTGGGAACTGATGGTGGTCCTATGGTCTACCAGGGAAGCCCAGCAGAGGATGTACTTCCTGAGGCAGCTGAAGAAATTCAACCTGCCAACACGGACGATGATGCAATTCTACACTGCAATCATCGAGTCCATCCTCACCTCCTCCATCACCGTGTGGTACGCTGGAGCCACTATCAGGGACAAACAGAGACTGCAGCGTGTTGTGCGCTCTGCTGAGAAGGTGATTGGCTGCAAACTCCCATCTCTGCAGGACCTATACACCTCCAGGACACTGTGGCGTGCAGCTCGGATCTCAGCTGACCCTTCTCACCCTGGACACAGTCTGTTTGACCTGCTCCCCTCAGGCAGGAGGCTCCGGTCCATTCGCACCAGAACCTCTCGCCATAAGAACAGTTTCTTCCCCTCTGCTGTTGGACACATGAACAATAACCACATGACTGTCCCCGCCACTAACACATGACCCTACGCTGTGTCACTGCATCATTTCATGTTTGGCACTGATCACCACCTGCACTCATGTATATATCTTTCTACGTAGCACTCTTAATTCTTATTCTCATGTATATATCTCATGTATATCTCATGCACATATCTTTCTTTCTACATAGCACTTTAATTCTTATTGTTTGCACTGAAGCACCGCAGCAATTTCCTAATGTTGTAAACCTCAACATCTGGCAATAAACTCCCATTCTGATTCTGATTCAATCAAGTTGATTAAGTATGACTTATTTTATGGAAAACGAAGAAAACAGGAGTTATTAATTAGTGATTGAAAAAAAAAATTTATTCCTTCTGAAAAGAAAAGGTCCAAAAACCACTGTGTTAATCTTGGGAATTGGGACAGGTCAGGCGAAGCAACCACCCATAATCTCCAGGGAAGGAGCCGGCACTGTCTATAAAAAGCAGGGAGTAAAATGGCCAAGTAGGACTACAGAACAAGAGGCGAGTGGAAGAGTTGGCAGCAGTTCAACTTTGAGTTTTTACAAGGGAACAGCACATCTTCTACCTGAGCAAAAAGAAGATAAAGAGAAAGTCCACTACACCAAAAAAGGCATCGTGTCCCACTTTGCCCCGTTACCACTTAACCAAGAGTTTGTGTGGTGAACCCAAAAAGAAAAACTTTACAGAAGCCCACACCGAAGCAACCAAAAACCCAACAAGTAAACAAGTAAAGACAAGTCAAAAGAAATCAGGCTACATTTTCATCTGAAGAAAAGCTGCTGCCAGCTAAATCCACATTCCTCCCTTCTTATGCTAACAGGACCTTCAATCAATTGTGAGGCTGTCCACTTTCAGTCCATTACAAGGACAGGCAGCAGCTTGCTTGCTGTGGCTGATGGAGAACACAAGGAAGATGGCAGCGCATGTAAATCATTGGCCCAATCAGGGTCAAGGAGAGCATGGAAGGGTTGTCCCTGTAAAGGCGAAACTACGGTCAATCGCTAACAAGTTTAACCTCATGACTGGCATCTCTTTGCGAGGAGAAAAATCACATTACAAACATACAGAAGCGTTACACAACAGCTGGTTGCATAATGCTGCCCGCCCTACCTCTAGCATAAAGGGCTGAGCTGTGGATTGTCTGCAGCTGCCTTCAGCTTTGCAAATTCACTTTGCAGCTGAGTTTTAATCTTGCAAGCACTTTATGCAAGACAGTGTTTATAATTAAATTCATAATATTCACATATTGAAAATGTATTCAGTAATCTGGTTTAAAAAAAAAAAAAAGAAGGAAAAAAGACTGAAATGTGCAATGATTGTGGGGGAAGCAGTGTGAGGATGAACCAGGCAATGCATCCATCGGGCAAATCAAAACTGACAGCAGCCACTGGCCAAGACACCTGAGGACTGGGTGGGTGCAAACTCCCCTGACATTACATAATATGGCGCAAACAGTGCTCTAGGTTCAATTATCACTGGATGCCACAAGCTCTCAAATATTTGAATCCTGAATTAAAGAGAACAGAGATTGACAGCTCAGAAAGCCTTTTATCAACCGACTGTTATAGGGGCAACTTAACACCTGAAATTTGTGCAATTCTACGCACTTGCAGAATCTGACTACCTGTGTAAGGTTTCAACTTTGAACCTCAGTGCAAACTATTAACTAAAGTGGTCCAAGACTACATACGTCCTCCAAGACTAAAAATTTACTCCACAGCATGCATGAGTTGAGTCCCTGGATCAAGAAGGGTGTATATAGGCAGATTTATTTGAGACATTTTCTTGAGAATACGCCCACCAGTATTATTAACATGTATGCTAAACCTTCCTTTAATAACTTTAAAGGTTAGTCCTTTCTAAGTTGGATCAAGCACCACCTTTAGTAAAATATAAAAATACATAATATTCATGCACCTTAACCACAATGTGTACCTAAGAGAACAGCAAGCTAGCCAGGCTTTATTAGTGAAGCCGAGGAGCACCCCCCTCTGGCCTCAGGCCAGTTAGCACGTCTGTGCATGGCCCCTCACCACAGGGAAGGGCCTTTCATCAAGAGCGCCCCGACCAAAAATAGTAACACCTGACGTTTTGCTTTTGAATCATCACGAGTGCTCATAACACAAGTGGATCACAATTCTATATTATGTAAGTTTTTCAGTCAAACAGGCAAGTGGAAAACAGCGGGCGACTGACACCCAGTGAGAATTCAGATCCTATTTGAAAACATACTCATACATGCATGAATACAAATGGGGCCCCTGGCTGCTATGTTACCTTCAGCATGTCACATGATTAAGTTGGAACAAACAACAGTGCTCAAATATGAGGCACTTACAGTGTGCAGACACTAAACTACAGCAACCAAAAGCTCAACACCCATCTGTCTCCATTTCTTTCTTTCTTTCACATTTGGGTCCTGCGCTGCACCATCAATCACTACAATCGCGGAAACACTACAAACTGTTGGCTGATTTATTTGTCATGGCTGGAGACTGGAGGTGCAGGTATTCTGGTGGAGTTTTCACCTGGAGACAAAACTCATCTGTGTAAAGTCTGCCACAAATTTTGATGGACATTATTATTAACAAACCATATGTTGACTTTGCTTAAAAACAGTGGTGAAAGGAGGTGCAATGCCTTGTCCTCTAACCCAAAAGATTGACTACAGAGTTGTCCAGGCCTTATCAAGTGGCCTGCTAAGGGCTAAATTAATCTCTATAGCTCTGTGCCAGATAATTAATATTTGCCAAGAGACACTAAAAGCAGATTATCCAGTTTTGGTTGTTTGCTTTTGTTTTATTTACGTGGGGTGTGGGATAGTAAGATTAGAGCTACTGTAGACCGAAAACAAAAGGACTTATTGTAAACCTATATAAAAAGGGTTCACTTCTGCATAAATAATATTACTACAAACTAGGAGAGCAAAGTTCAACATTACTGTAATACTGTACCTTGCCGGTTGATCTCATTCTGCAGGAGCTCCTCCATTGCCTCCTCTTCGGCAATGTCCAGAGGCGTCTCGCCCTCACTGTTTACAACTCCTACACTGGCACCCTGGCTGATGAGATACCTACAAAACAAAACATCACAAAAACAAACAAAAAAAACACCACAAAAAGAGTTAAACTAGTGGCAACAGAATATTTTTCAGAGCAATCTTTAAACTGCAAGTATCAGCTGTATTAAAGGTTGCGGTCAACTTTAGCTCTCAAGGGTTTGAAAATAGGCTAAAGGCAAAAGTGCCCTCCTCGAACAAATGAGTAAACTGTTCAAAATGAGACGTGCAATGTTTTTCTTGGTTCTGTGCCAACATTAGCCAATAGCTACACCACAACCTGTGTCTCCAGTTTAGACAGTCATGACCTTCACATCATGGTGTGTTTAAACTGTATTGGGTCCTCTTCCGGCTATGTAAACACTGAACATACCACACCTAAGAAGCTAAGAAAGTAGTGATGGCGAGGAGTGGCAAAACCCCAGTCCATGTGTAGTAACAATTAAATCTGCAAAATAACTGGTCAATGATGACGAAGCATTTCCATTCTGAGAAGGCAGTTCTTCACCAGGAGCAACGGATCTGCTGGAAGACACCTCGACAAGATTCCCAGTTGGAGATGCACTGAAGCATCCCCACAGTATAATACTGCCACCATCATTTTTCACTGATGGGACTGTGTTCTTTGGGCCGTACGCCTCCCTCTTCTTTCTCCCAACATAAGCAGCATCTCTGAGCTCTAGTATCATCTCAAAGGACACGCTTCAAGCAGATATGTTTCTCCAGGAAGATCAAGGTTTGGGCCATGAAACCTTCTATAAAGAACACAATTTAACACTGCATTCATGTCTACTTTGTTACATTTTAAATACTACTCTCAATAGTCACTCAAAATATGTTAACCAGTCTACATCTTGAGTTCAGCTGCCTCAAATTAAAACTGTGGCACAATTCAAGGCCTTCTCATTAGACTTTAAACACGCACAATCCAATTCCCACCCCCCTGAAATAGCAACTACTGACTTACTACACAGTTACATTTCAAGGTTTTTATCTCTTTTTGATTGCACTTTCTATTCTGCCTATTTTAGGTTGGCTTTACTAGTTTTCCTGGCTTTGCGGTCTGGAGCTTTTGAACCAAGCCTACAATTAGAAGGCTGTGGTCACTTCTAGGGACAGATCCAGCCCCGCTTTGCAGTTCCCGCTGTTGTCAATGAAGATCCTGGGATTAAAATGGGTCTACTGAGAGCTCACCGCCCACATCAGGTTGTCGAGTTTCTCTCCGTGACATGATGTCTCCATTAGTCACCAGTATGAGGATCGGCACTTGACCTTTTGCTTCAAAATGCGACAACAGAAAGCTTCTTGTTTTCTGTGCTGATGTCAAGTTCAGGCCAGCTGAATGCAGATTTTGCTGCTCTGAGAAGACCATTTGGGCAGTTCAGTTAAATGGCTAATGTAAGATGTTTTTCCTCTGATGGCTATTTGCAAACTTTGGGAAAACACCAGCAGTGAGGAATACATTCTTAGCCAGGTTCCTGTAATGTAACACAAATAAAGCAGGTCATAGCACTCTCTCAATAAGCTGAACAATGAGCACGACTGAGCTCCATCAGCCCCCTTTAGCTAGTTTAAATATCCTATGATAACATCTCTGCCCTATGAGCAGTCTTCTCAGTTGAAAAAAAAAACAAAAAAAACACTATGAGCAAGAAAATGCTTGAGTGAAACTTCAGAGCTTGATTCCAGATACAGCAGGTGACCCTGATCTCTCCATATTTGATTACATCACAGATGTACACTCATAACAATGTGCAAGTTATCAGATGGGCTGCCGCTGCTGTCCAAATGTGATGAGAATTGTTGTACAGGCTATGATTGGTTCTTGGCATTTTGATTCTGGCACACCTTATGAAATGGCATCATGGGTCAACAACCCCCCAAGGAGATTTTAACCAGAGCCAAAAATAATAATAATAATAATAATAATAATAATAATAAAAAAAAAAAAATAAATATAAATAAATTACAATCATTGTAATAAAGATGATTTTATTTTTGGTTCACTTTAGAGGTTTCAGTCAAACACATCTGACATGCAATGTGCTTATGGGTGTATTCAACCCCTGAGTGAGGAAAACCCCTGAATCTGTACAGCAAATGATACCCTTTGTCTGCAGGTGCAGCTCAGATAAAGAAAACTCTCCATCAGCTTAAAGGACTGCCAAATAATAGTCAACACAGTGTCAGATATAACAACAGAAAGGCACACATGCAATGTTAAGTGAACCCATTTTGAGTTTCCTTAACGTCTGTCACATATACACTCTGGGACAATATTTGATGCTCATATTAAACCTTGTCACAGTTTCCAGTAACGAGATGAGGATGTGCACAAGTATATCATGCAAACTAAAAGCTCTGGTTTCAGACTGCTCTAAACACTGTCAGGGAATTTTTTTGCTCTTGGTGTTAACGTAATCAGATATCACTTATATTATCTCATGCTGTATCCAGCTGTACAGAGACGATGCAGGATAAGAAAACTGCTAGGCCAGCCCTAAAGTCACTTTGTGCCTCACAGTCCAGAAATGTTAACGAAAACTTTGCACAAAAAGGTTCAGGGAGGAGTTTTGCAGTTACAAAATATCCGCAGCACAAAACAAAACAGGAAGTGAGGATGAGTCGGCAGAAATCAAACCTGATGAAATAGATACTAGCGCCAAAAGGGCCTCTTGATACTCACTCTGCTATGTCTAGGTATCCACAGGAAGCTGCAGCGTGGAGTGGGATCCAGCCCTCGTTATCAGGCTGGTTGATGCAGGCTCCATGCTCCACCAGGAAAGTCACCATGTCGACATTGTCATCTATGCATGCCTGAGACAGGGGAGAAAACGAGTAAGGCCACAACTTCTTGACTGTGTTGAACTAAGTGCACTTGGGTACATGCACACATGCTTGAGTGCTTATGTCAGTGGGGTGGCCTGTGCTCTAGTTGCATCGCTCATGGAAAGGGCATTACACCCCCGATTGGTTGCCATGTGCATTGCTGGGAGATTTTGGCAGCTGAAGCATTCTCAAAACATTCGCACATAGCAGGGGTGCTAGAAATACCACATAGCATAGTACTGCTGACAGAGGCACTGGGGTGCTGTGCATACATTTGCTGCTACTTTATCCTGAGAGTTATATAGTGTAGAAACGCAAAACCTGAAAAAAGGTTAGCTGTGCTATACATCTTCAAGTACAGAGCTGTCAAAAAAAAAATAAAAAATAAAAAATTGGATTTTGAATGCATAAACTATTTAATTATTATTTGCAGTAATAATACAGAGACACCAGCTGTGCTTTGTTGCTCTAAACCTCAACGTGACAAACTGCAGTGCCCACATATTCCCACCTCCTCCCACTTACAGTGCTATCACCACCTTCATCTCAGTCTTGTTTTTATGACAAATAAACAGGGCCTTGAGAAATAAATAAATAAAAAGGCATTCATTTAATTTTTTGAAAGCCCTGTTTTTGCAGCGTCTAAAGTTAGAAAGTTTAGTATTGTGACAAATCAGTAAGTCTCAGTAATTGAAACCACAAAAACTACACATGCACAAACACAAAGTACATTCTCTTCATACTAAGAAGATGAAGAATTCTTCAAATCAACATCTGTGTGGAAAGAAAATTTAATGCCTCTAATTGCCAGCACTCAATCCAATCATTAGGGTTTTGCCATTCTTTAGTGCTGGTGACAGACAGGATGCCTGTTTCTTGTTTACAGACAGGAGGGAGGATGTCCTTAACGGGTATGCAAGTTGGGGTGAGGGGAAATTGGAGAACCCAACAAGTAAAACCAGAAGGATTTCACATTAAAAGAACTCTGTTCCGCTCAGAGGCCGAGCTTAGAACAGACTTTCTAGGCTGGGTGAAGATACCAGAGGGAGACTGTGCACAAACCCATCCTAAATATAGTTTGACTCTGAACATCAAAAGACCACAAACACTCCAAATGAAGCATATTACTGTGCAGCACACAAGGAGACCACCCACTAAAATAGGAGGACAAAGAACATATTACAGAGTGTCCCTAAACAAGATCAGGAGCACAAAGACTGCTTTAGAATTTATATGAGCGGCTTTGCAGTTAGTGTTCATCATAGACCAGTATGATGCTTCTACAGCAGTGGTAATATTGAACCTCTCTCTGGAAGGCCCCACCAAACTAAACTACCCAAATGACACAATTAAAATGAAAGTAACACAGAGGAGATTAATTTAAGATCCTCTGACTCATGAAGTGGGAGGTGTAGTGACTTTGCTTAGATTATGAAGGCAAACTTGCACCATGATAGGAACAAATTTGCATTTTCTATTTGTTAGTCAAGTACTCATTTTATGTAGAAAAGGAAATTTACATTTCTGAAAGCCGAATTTCCTTTTCATTAGAAGGGAAACCACTGTTTAAGGCCTGCCAATTTTATTCTGCATCCATGATAGCTTTCACGAGTTTTCTAAGCAGTAAAATACTGCTCATTTTGTTTGTTTTCTTGTGAATTTCAGAACTCGCATTTGTTCACTGCCCTTCCAGGGCTGCATGCTAGAAGCATGAGTGTTTAAATCCACAACCACATGTAATTTTCATTATGCTAATGCATCTTCCTTGCTTCCTTCATTTTGCATCTCTTCCTTACATCTGAGATCCTTAAGAGCTGGAACTGAAAAACTCAAACTATTGCCTCCTTATTGCCCATTTACAGTAACATCAGTTACACACACATATTAAGTGAATTATTACTGTCGCTGTGTATATTCATTCAAGTTTCCCCTTTTCAAACTCATTTAAGTATGGTCCAAGCTCTACAAGGAGTTGTTTTTCTTTTTTTGCTCTCTCGACATGTTTAAGTACCAAAATAATATAGATTTTTTTAGGCCATAACCTAAATATTATAAATTCTGTACAATTCATTTATCAAAAGGCTGAGAGAGGAAAAAGAAGCTGTCGAAATCCAAATCAGGAAGTTAATAAAAGCAGAAGAAGAGTATAAAGTGCACTTTTCATTCAGTGCACACAAAGGGCCTGAGGTTAAATAATGTCTCACATCAAACATGAGGTGACATGTAAAGCAGGGGTCATAAATAAAGTCATGAAGTTGGGAGTGCAAAAAAGTAAAAATAAAAAAATGTAGCTGTAGATTTCCTAACAAAATGCTCAACTGTTAAATGATTGTAGTAAATACTTGAGATAAACACTTGAAATCCACAATTACCACTTGCGCAATATATTAAAGAAATATATATTTTAAAAAAAACAACAAAAAAAACAAAACCCAAAACCTCAAACTCATATTTGAACACAGTCAGGCCATCTCCTGTAGTTGCTATGGCAACAAAAATGTGGACAGGGGAAACAGACACATGAACACACGGCGTCCTCACGTTCAGGGCAAACCGCTATCTGGCTGGAATCCTTGTCCAAATTTGGGCCGTTTACAGCACCAGAGCTACAGAGTGCCTGCAGAGGCCTCCCTGAGCTTACTGACCGTGTGAATGAGCGTTTGTGTATGATGATGTCGTAGGGTTTAATGCCCCACCGAGTCCCTGAAGCTGCAAATGGACTTTGATTTAAAGAGATCAACAACAACCAAGGCTGCAACTCCCATCATTAGTACAACAGGTTTATTAGTTTGATGCCATCATCATGGGAGAATTATGTGCCCCTCTGTGTCAACACAAAGCACTGTGTGGTCCCTACGCAGGAGCTGCACTGGCAAAACTGATCAAAAAACATAAACATAAAAAAATAATTTAAAAAAATCAAAACCACATATACCATGTCCTGTTCATTTAAACGACATACTGCTTGTATAGGTAAATACATCTCAACATAAATATCCTTCATTTAGTTTAGGTTATACAGAATGGGTAATACCACAAATTGTTTTGTTATTCCAGGAAACAATTTACTCCCTAATAGACCAAAGCATGTGCAGTTTCTTTATTTTTAACAAACTAAGCTATAATCAATAAGGTAGCTAATGCATGCATTAAGGCTGATATGAAACAAAGTGTCCACTACACATACTGAGGCAAATGGTAAATGGATAGGTACACTTGATCCACTGACTTCCTTTGCCATAGCCACCACTAAAAAAAGGACTCAAAGAATTCACATCAGTAGTGCAACATCTATAATAAAAATTGTACAAATAATGCTACCAGTCAAAATTAACTTAACCGTAACAATTCCTTATTAACGTAAACATTAAATAGACCATTTTCCTTAACTAGTCTGAATGATGTCTGATATAAAGCATTGATGACACATGCTTTTACACAGCTACAGAGCCTCAAACTGGAGAAACACTGTCGAGTCATGACCCAAGGCACAAAAGCACACACAGGAGCTAGTGTTGACATTTAGAAAACAGACCAGTGGGGGAGGAGAGAAGACAATTAGGAATTAATTCCTCAACAAGCTTTACTCGAAGTAACAACATCTTAGCTGCACCTCTGTAAGTGACTCAGTCTTAACTTTTGTTTGGGTTTGTTCTCTCCCGAGAGAAGTAGCTGCAGCACCCAAAAAGTGAATACCTTTAACAGCAGTCAGCCCTTCTTTACTCATCCATAAAACGTGAGCTAAGCTAACCTCTGGCTGCACAAACTACTTCACTATCAAAAAATGTTTAAAAAAACAAAACAAAACAAAACAAAACAAAAAAAAAAAACCAACTGCTCGCAACTACTGATTGGTCTGTATTACCTAAAGTTATTGAAATTTACGCATTTTACTGTTTTATTGACCCTATTAAAAGATATTAAGTAAAAGTAAATTAAACCCTGCTTTAAAAAAATGAAAAGAAAAATAAGATTAGAAAAAGGATAAGCATTTCTATCAAAATCTTGTGATCTTACTTTTGGGGAAGGCAGAAAACCTGAGAGTGTCACAGTTTTGTATATGCACGCAATAATACTAATCAGCACAGACAGAAAGCAAATAGACGCTGCTCCCATATTTTTCCCCTATAAGGAGGACCAGCTGTAATTTGTCACTTCCAATCACAGTCCTTGCTGTGGCCATTTTGCTCTGCATATCCTCCAGAGATTCATAAAGGAGTCTATTGCTTTGCAGGATTGGAAATAAAGATAAGTGGTCCTTACAGACAGCTGACTGAGTGTTCCTGCATTCCTCAACTAGAGCAAGCCAGGAAGTAAAGTCAGCTGTCCAATAGACTGTACTTCAAATTGAAGTAGCCAATCAAGTTTTTCTTCCACATGCAAAACACCACGAGTGATAACAGACATGTAAAGCACAGACAACTGCTAGTCTCCTTTTATTAATCTGACATTTTAATCTGTATTGCAAAAAATAAACCACCCAATATAGATTAGTGCTTTTCATTTCCTTGCTCACAGCTGCAAAATGTGCATGTACTTGGCGGCCATCTTTACAGCTTTCTGCTGCTCATCTGAAAACTGTCCCCCATACTTTCATCTAAATCCTCTCCCCTCAGTCATCCCCCACACTTATTATCTCTTCAAAGTCTTTGTCCAAGAATGGAAACAAGCCCCTTAAGGTGAATGCACTGGTGGCTGCGACCTCCCTCTTCAGTGCGTCACCATCCTTCCTTCACAGGCTCCCACCAGGAGCCCAACAAAGGTAATCCCTTAATAGCTGTAATTTTCTGTGGTTGACAGGTGCCATACTAACAGCCCGAATCAAAAGTATGCTAGAATAGGAGCCCCAAGAATGGGCTTAAATTAGTGGATATAAGAGTTTAATAAACTCGTAAGTCATTTTTTTAATTTTCTATTTGTAAGAAAATAGGATGTTGCACCAGTGCTAGGCTCATCTTTGACCCAGGCCTATTAAATTATACTAGATA